CAAAGGAATGGCTTCACCAGAAGATTCAAGTTTTGGAATGGCCCAGCCAGAGCCCAGACCTGAATCCGATTGAAAATCTGTGGGGTGATCTGAAGAGGGCTGTGCACAGGAGATGCCCTCGCAATCTGACAGATTTGGAGTGTATTTGCAAGGAAGAGTGGGCAAATATTGTCAAGTCAAGATGTGTCCATGCTGATAGACTCATACCCATAAACACTGAGTGCTGGAATCAAATCAAAAGGTGCTTCAACAAAGTATTAGTTTAAGGGCGTGTACACTTATGCAACCATATTATTTTAGTTTTTTATTTTTACTTCCCTCCAGCTAAAAGATTTCAGTTTATTGTTCAACTGAGTTGTACAGTTTATAGGTCACATCAAAGGTGGAAAAAGTTATGAAATGATTTATCTTTGTCTCATTTTTTTACATCACAGAAACCTGACATTTTAACAGAAGTGTGTAGACTTTTTATATCCACTGTATGTATACACACACCACACACACCACACACACACACACACACACAGTCAGGCACAACCCAAAGAGGTGCAGGGGAGGTCCAAGCTGGCCAGCAAGGTATGGCATGGAACACAAGCATCAGAGGCGTCATGAAACTGACAGTGTGCAAACCTCTATGGGTGACATCAGACGCCGGGGGATGTGGTAATGCGTTTCAAGGCCGCTCTGCCTCTTCCTCAGGCCCCAGTTTCCTGACAGCTCTGATGCTTGTGTGCCATGTGACTGACCCTTTGCCGGCCAGCTTGGAACTCTCCATCTGGAAATTTATCTCATGTGAGTGCATTTTTATTCCCTATTAATAAATTCACAGTTTTTGCTACACTTCGAGGCGCCCTTTTGTGTTCTTTCATTATACTGCAGATATCCCTACGGTCTGATGAGGAGCTGCCCTGAGATCGTTGTTACAAGTTGTAAATGATATGGACTATTCTTAGGACTGGCTTATACATTTGGGTCCACCAGTTCCTGTTGTGCTGTAACTGAATTAATTTTTGTGGACTTGCATTGCATAAGAGGCAAATGCATGCCATTGCCATACCCCGGTACCGATCACATTCACTTTTCTAGCTTAGGATTGGTCCAGCACGGTGCCTGTGGTACTGTGATTCTTGCATGTGCTAGATAAGGGAGACCTTAAGATTGGTGACTGTTCAGAAAGTCGACTTTTCACTTTCTTATACTTCAGGCTTTATATGAGCATGTCCTGACAAGAAACATACTAACAGGATGAGAGAGCAGAAAGATAACCTCATTAGTTTGTTGCTGCTTCTCCATTGCACAGTCATAGGGTGGGGGTGGGGATTTGATCAAGCTGTGTCCATCTAGTCCTGAGATTTTCATAGCACAACCTAACATTTTATGCTGCATTTGATGCTGAACTCCAGGTATGATCTTTATTGCATACTTGCATTGGTCCAGCTTGGGCACAATGTAAGGACAAGCATTCCTCGGTTTACGAACGCCTCGAAAACGTAATTTTCGGTTTATGAATGAAAATCCATTGAAAATAATGGCTCGGTTTACTAATTTGTTTCGCAATACAATCAGATTAATTGGTTTTCAATGCATTTACAATTTTTTTTTTTAAATCATGTCCCTGTACAGTATTTATGCCTTTAAAGTGCACTTTATAAAGAGTTTTGAACAGATAAGACTTTTTTTTTTTTTTACTTTTTTCTGACCCCCGGAACGGATTAATTGGTTTTCAATGCGTTCCTATGGGAAACCGCTTTTCAGTTTACAAATTTTTTGCAATACAAAAAGTGCAGCAGAACGCATTAAATTCGTAAACCGAGGTACACCTATATGTATGTCTCATACCGGATGTTATGGACCGACCAGCGGTAGCCTCTGGCGACCCACAGACTGGAATTCCCCAGGGCGTGGAACCTAAGCTCCGACCTGCTTGTTCACCAGAGCCCCTGATGGTGGGGATGGACTTGGAGCAGGTTGAAACCAGGTCACAGCTCCTGAGTACAACCAGCTGGGGTAAAGGTACTTGCCGGTGGCACGTAGCAGGTGGGAGCCTGATGTGAAGAGGTGGAGTGAAGTGAAGTCAGACAGGCCAGGTCAGTAACGGTGGAGGCAGAACGGTACAAGCGTCAGGCAAAGGGATAAACGGGTCACAGGCCAGGTTCAGCAACAGGAGGTCAAATGTCAGAAGAAGGCAGGAGAATGGTCAGACAAGCCAGGGATCAGAGCAGGAGATGGTCAACAGAATCAGGGTCAGGCAGGGTCAGTATCAAGGCAGTCTTTCAGGATACGAACAGGAACAGCAGGAAAGACCATATGGCAATTTGAGCATTGCCATAGCCTGTTTAAATAGTGCGCCCTGTGCAATCATTGGTGCCAGGCGCGCGTCCGTATGCGTGGCCGTCATTGTTGCCGCCGGCGCCTAGGTCCTAGCGCCCGCATGCTAGTGCGCCTAGGCAGACCGTGCATGCGCAGACTCGCGCGCTGCGGTAACCTTGGAAGTCCCTGACACCTGAGGGGCCTCTGTGGAAGTTCGAAATCACCGTATTAGTTGGTGCTGCTATGCTGTAGAACCACAAGGGTCACTGCTACCATTCACAGAAGGGCTTCTAATTCTTTCAATAAATACAAGGCATTCTCTGATTGGATTAGGTGGAGATTGTGATGTCACCGTCCCTTCTTTCAACTTTGTCCACTCAAAGAATACCTTGTATTCATTGCAAAAGTTCAAGGCGCTGTGTGAGTGGTTGTGCCAAGCAAGGGAGCCCCTGTTGTCCGTGTGCAATGGGGAAACTGCTTACTCAGGATTGCTGCTATCTCTATAGTAGAGCCAGCTACTACAGTGATTGTTGGCTTCCCCAAAGTCCCCTCAGGTATGAGATAAGCATATTTACATTGTGCCAAGCTGGACCAATATAAGTATACAATACAGATCACTTTGAGCCCGGGTTCACACTGATGCGGTGCGGAATTCACAGCGTTTTCAGTACGAATTCTGCACTGCATCAGAAGCGCACCCCGTTCATGCGAACCGCTGCGGGTGTGTATGTTAAGTTAACAACACCCCGAAAGCGGTCCGCAAAACGTGGTGCGATGTGCAGAATCGGATCTCATAGGTGTGAATACCCATGCAGTCTGATTCTAGTGCGGACCAAAGAAGGGTCCTACATGTTTTTGGTGCGGGTGCGGTGCGATTACAAAAAGTATGGCTCGGATCGCACCGCACACAAGTCACTTGTGATTTGCACAGGAATGCAGAGCGGTTTCTGTGCAACTCACATGCGATTTACCGCACCACATATATGTGAACCCAGGCTGAATGAGCTTTTGGGACTTTTGGAAGACGCATTTGAGAAGATGTATATTTGATGGCCTCTATAGTATAGAACTTTATAGTTTCATGCACTTTACTATTGCACTTAAAGTTTATGCACTTTATGTTTAGTATGGTGCAGTGAACTATATACAGTTGTGCTCAAAAGTTTACATACCCCGGGAAAAATTGTGACATTTTGGCATTGATATTGAAAATATGACTGATCATGTCATAAAATGCTCTTTTATTGAAGGATGATGATCATATGAAGCCATTTATTATCAAATAGTTGTCTGGCTCCTTTTTAAATCATACTAACAGAAATCACCCAAATGGCCATGATCAAAAGTTTACATACCCGGAAATGTTTGGCCTTGGTACAGACATTGTGTCATTGATGCAGTAAAGGCTTCTTTCTAGCTCCTCCACCATGCAGCTCATTTTTGTTTGTGTCATCATATTGTGCTCCTTCAAATGGGATACAAAGGGAAACCCATAGGTATCCACAAGAAAAATACAGGCTACTCTGGAAAAAGACAGTGTGGTTGTTTTGAAGGAACACAACATGATGACACTTCAACAAAAATGAGCTGCATGGTGGAGGTGCTAGAAAGAAGCCTTTACTGCATCAATGACACAATGCCTGTACCAAGGCCAAACCTTTCCGGGTATGTAAACTTTTGATCATGGCCATTTGGGTGATTTCTTTTAGTATGATTTAAAAAGGAGCCAGACAACTATTTGATAATAAATGGCTTCATATGATCATCATCCTTCAATAAAAGAACATTTTGTGGCATGATCAGTCATATTTTCAATATCAATGCCAAAATTTCACAATTTCTGCCAGGGTACGTAAACTTTTGAGCACAACTGTATGTTAATTTTTTGTTTGAATAAAGATCATACCAAGAATTCAGCTTTAAATGCAGCAGAGAAATGTCTGGTCACTGTGCAGCTATGGTGTGTAAATCTCAGGACCGGATGGACAGAAATCAAATCCTTTAACAGAACTCCTATATGTGTTTTTTCATCTTTTGTGTTTAGATGTTTTTCTGAGGTTCAGCTTTAGAATAAGACCACAGAGAGAACACGACTCTTCCAAATGCAGAGGACTAGTACTTCGCGGTGGTTCCTTTTTATGTCGCAACCTTTGAAATATATGCAGCCTGCACGCTGGACTTTGCTCATTGGATATATGTCATTCTAAAAGTGAACAACCGCAGAGTGTATACTAATCCCACAGAAGTTTCAGCACTTCGGTTTCTGTAGCCTTTGCACATATCTGTCTTACTAAATGCTGAGCAAGGTGTTTTCCAGTTGTTTTTAGCTTATGTATTTACGATCTGACAGGCAATTGCCGGCCATCAAACCAATCTGAGAGCTGCGCCCAGCATTTGTGAGAATATAGCTTGTCAGGTCGCCATTGAAATGACTGAGGCGGGGAGTGGTAGGGCTGATGTCACTGGAGCGCTCTCATACATTGTAAATAGAAGAATTCATCTTGCTGGGGTACACCAGCCCAGGGGCGGACTGACAACTCATGGGGCCCCTGGGCAATAGGGGATTATGGGGCCCCTTTGTCCTTGCCCAAACTCAAAAAAGCCTATGAAAAAGGTACCAGGGGCATCTCATGGGGCCCCCTACTGACCCCGGGCCCTCGAGTTTCCAAATGGTCAGTCCGCCCCTGCACCAGCCTAACCAAGATTTGAACAGGGATAGCTTTTTCCTTGGGTACCCAGACCAACAGTGTTATTCAGCAAGAAACCTACATTCTGCATTAATAATTATGCTACCAACATTAGTATGTGCTGTAAATTGCCTCCAGCATTCCTCCTATTTGTTCTTGCTGGAGGCTGCCATTTTGCTGAAGCCCAATGCCCCTGAGCAGCAGTAGGCTGGCAGCAGATCTGCCTCTACACAATGCCAAAAATAGAGCGCAACTGAGCATGTGCAGAGCAGGGTAAGGTAGTGTATTGCTGTGTTTTAAACAGTATAGGTACCTATTTTTAATGTTTTATTACAGCTATTCTTTGTAAAAGGAACCAGTATGTCATGATTTAGAAGGACTTAATTTTCAGACTAAAGTTCTACTTTATTCACTTAATAAGTAATCCTTTTCTATGTTCCTGTTTTAGCTGGTGTCATGACCACTGCCCCAGCTTTCCTGTTTCAGGGTGGCTCCTTTGTCTTGCAGCATCCAGTGGAGCAATCCTCGTCTACAGGGTCTAGAGTTGTGTCCCCCTACACCAGGGTTTCTTAACTAGGGTTCCTCCAGAGGTTTCTAGGGGTTCCTTGAGCAACGAGCAATATCCGCCTCTCAGGTTCCCGCTGACACCATTGATATTTTTAGCTATCTATAAGGGGTATTTCTTCTCAATTATTATTATTATACAGTATTTATAAAGCGCCAATGGTTCGCTCAGCGCTGTATATTACAAAGGGGGACAGAACATGTGACAGAACAACAACAATACAATGCAAAACATGAGGGCATCGAGGGCCCTGCGGTTTCGAGCTTACAATCTAGTAGGAGTTCTCAATGACCAAAAGTGTAAGGAACATTCTTCCCACTGACCATCACATGAATGTATCGTGAGCTATAGATAGTTATTTTTAGCAGGGGTTTCCCAAGACCAAAAAGTCATTTCAAGGGTTCTTCTGTGTTGAAAAGGTTGAGAGAGGCTGCCCTACACTGTGTGCATCAATGGAATCGCACAGCCCATAGCTTAGGATGGCAATGCACTCTCCTGCTCCCCCCCTTCCTTCTCCAAGTGAACATACTGACTCCAGACTGTACTGTCCACTGTTAACTCCTACTTGTGACAACTAGAGGTTTGGGGAAGCATCATTGAAAGTTGTAAACTACAAGCGCAAAACATTTTTTTTTTTCGCTCAATATGTTTGCTCAAGCTAAACTCCCCGGAAGAATGGGGCGGCACAGTGGCTTAGTGGTTAGCACTTCCGCCTGGCAGTACTAGGGTCGTTGGTTTGAATCCCAACCACGGCACCACCTGCCTGGAGTTTGCATGTTCTCCCTGTGCCTGCGTGGGTTTCCTTCGGGTACTCTGGTTTCCTCCTACAGTCCAAAGACATGCAGGTAGGGTAATTGGATCCTGTCTAAATTGTCCACAGTATATGCATGAATGTGTGTTAGGGACCTTAGATTGTACACCCCTTGAGGGTTAGGGACTGATGTGAATGCACTATGTGTGTGTGTGTACTATATATATATATATATATATATATATATATATATATATATATATATGTGTGTGTGTGTGTGTATATGTAAAGCGCTGCGTAAATTGACAGCGCTATATAAGTACCTGAAATAAATAAAGAATAATGGAAGGGTCTGGGAACCACTGTAGGCAGGATGGGGTTGATCGCTGGCTGGAAAATAATATCCAGCTCATGGCCTTATCCATGAGCTTGTTTTAACCACTTCAAGTCTAGGACGTTTGAAAACAGCCTAATGATGGGAAGTGGTTGAGGAAGTTGAAAGGTCATTATTACCGTGTAAGCTCTAAGGCTGCTTTCACACTGATCTGTTTTTCTTATGCTTTTGGGTAAAAAGAAAAAAAAAAAGAAAAGCGGAACAAAAACTCGTGACCATGTATTCCTTTGGAATTCTTCCAACTGTTGCAGGTCCTTAAAAATCTTGTTGCATTTCTGGTGCAGTAAAAAAAAAGTGCACCAAAAACACGACTCCCTATTGAAATGAATGGAAAACGCTGCAAAAACACACCCACATAGTGCAGTTTTTGATCCTCATTAAAAAATGCGCTGAAAATGCGTTTTTGCCATGGATCAGTGTGAAAGTAGCCGAACATGAAGTTTACGCAAGGTTAGATCCAATGCTTCCACAGACCAACGCAGCAGGGTCCATGAAGTATTAGCATGTGTGAGGGGGAGGTTGGCCTGTCAAAGAGAACCTATCACTTTTTCCTGAATATTAACACTAAAATACAGAAAGCTGGGTGTTGCAAAAATATTATTATTATTATACAGGATTTATATAGCGCCAACAGTTTGCACAGCACTTTACAATATAAAGGGAGACAATACAGCAACAATACAGTTCAATACAAGAGGGAAAGGAGGGCCCTGATCCTTGGAGCTTACAATCTAAAAATATATACATCTTTCTTAAAAGTAAAGCATTGTCCAATGCAGTGCTATTGGAGCCCAGATTCATGGCATCTAGTGGCGGAGAAGTACTGCAGGGGACTGCTCTGGACTTGAAAGTAAGTATTCCAGCAAAAGCAGCATATTTAAAGTGGTTGTAAAACTCAGACATGAAATCTGAACAAAGCATATCCCTCTATAGTGTGTACTTGTCTCAATCCAGAGCACCAAGTGACATTTCTGTCTGCAGCTTCACCCCTCTGCTATGAGCAGGGATCACTTCTGACAAGTTTTCCTGACACCAAGAGAAAAAAGGTGATGGGGAGGAACCTCCAGCTGATTGACAGCCTCAACTGTATTCCTGCTGTGTGGGAGAGGGGTGGGTCCCTTCCTTCCAATCAGCTCTCAGAGCTCTCCTCATTGATGTCTGCAGTGTGACATCATATCCGCATCCCCGGCCTCTGGAAGCTGAGATAAGCTATGTTATTTCTGCACTTTTCAATGGATATAGAGAAGAGAATACAGATAAATAGGTACAACTTATGTAAGAGAATTTGTTTTATCAGTTTCCAGTCACTTCACTGGGTATATGTAGGGTTTTAATGAACATTTTCTTGGGCTATATATTGAAAATCATAATGTTTCTATGGAGTTTTGCTTTAAAAAAGGTTATGTTACCCCTAAATGGATGCCTTTTAGAAGTCAACCTGAAAATTTTTTTTTTCAATCTTTTGAGCTAGACCGAAAAAAGGTATCCCTGACTCTTAAGCTGCTTACTGCTTTTTTCTGTAAACCAAGTTAGAGTGATTGGTTTGGGTCCCTCAGATCTACTCCAAGGAACATAAGAAAGGTCATTCATGGTCATTCCTTAGGTATCTAGTCTTAGACTGCTGCCCTAAAAAAATAAAAAAAACCCAAATCTTCAGTTCACCCTCACATTTCTGCAGCTCTTAGTAATCAAGTAGGTAATATGCCAAATGCCAAGAGTTCAAATAGCGGAACAAAAGACTGAGCAATATTAAAATCTGGCATGCTGGGACAGCTTGGATAATCCTAAAAAGCAAAATCCCTGTGGAGCTCAGCCAGTCTGCCTCTTCAGAGGGTCAGGTGGTGGTTGGGATGTGGGGGGCCCTGGCACTTTACACATGGGGAGATTTTTTTAAGGTAATGGAGTTATCAGTTGTGTGCGAATACAATCTTGTTTCTGTGTGTAGTTGGTTGCTATTTATACTATACATACACATGCACAATGTTAGCCATAGTTACTCGTTGCATATACATACTGTGCTTTCCTACTCCTATTAAATATGAACAAAGCAAATCTTTCTAGAGTGTTTACGTGTCTCAATCCAGAGCATTAGGTGTCATTTCTGTCTGCTGCCTTGCACCTCTGCTATCTGTATGAGTCACTTCTTACAAATTTTCCTAACGCCAAGAGAAAAAAAAGTAACAAGGGAAGGACCTCCAGCACACAGCCTGTGGCTCTGTTCCAGTGTGCTGTGTGAAAGGGGGGATGTCCCTTCCCTCCAATTAGCTCCATTCCCTCCACCCCCCCCCCCCCCCCCCCCGCGCTTTCTGAAGGCTAAGACAAACTTTATAAATTCTGGACGTTGAACAGACGTATAGACTAGAAAACTGCAGATAAACAGGTACAACCTATGTTGGAGGATTTGTTTCATCTTTGTGTATCACCTGAGGCCAGTCACTAGGTATATTTAAGGGTTTACAACCACTTCAATCATCAAAGCAGAAATAAACCCTTCAATACTCTCCAGCCCTGCCCCCCCACCACACAAACACACACACGTTACCAGAAGCAAACTTACACCAATAGGAGTGCCACCAGACCAAATAATAAAGAGTCCAATTTATTGGTTTACACGAAGAAAAGCAGCCACTGTGAGCGCAGGTCATCCTTGACCCACCCCTTAGATTGTAACTGGACAGTGAAAAGAAAAGCAGCGCAGTAATGAGTTTATCCTGTCCTCCTTAACCCTTTGAGGACCAAGGGACGTATTTGTCCCATGTTTTTTAATTGCGTGTATCATTTGATTAAGAACTTAAAACTCTTTTTTTTTTTTTTTTCGGTTTGAGTCAAAATATTAGTTTCTTATCAACAAACAACAAACGGATCTAGCTTTTTGCCAATTATTTCATGAAATGGCTTAGTTACAGCAACTGAAGTGTACGAACTTTAAAAACAAAAAAATTGATTCTTTTGGCGTTCCAAAATCTTACGGTCCTCAAAGGGTTAAACGCAAATGTGCAACAATGGAAGGAGCGCCAGACCAAATAAGAGTCCAAACTCATTTATTGGTTTACCCTAAAAACATCCAACGCATTTCAGGAAACAGAAGACACTCCCCCCTTCATCAGGGCTTCAGTTAAAATAAGAACCTTGAATGGACTCAAAATAGGGTTTTCCTGCGACTCTATGTAGGGTAACTAATTGCTGGACTAGGAAAGGTATTGGCTAGCAGCATCTATTTCCGCAATCAAGACAACTTCAAGGTTCTTCTATTAATTGAGCCCAGATGAAGAGGGAGTGTCTTCTGTTTCCTGAAATGCATTGGATGTTTTTAGTGTAAACCAGTAAAT